CCACCACGCCTGGCTAATTTTTGTATTTTTAGTAGAGACAGGGTTTCACCATGTTGGCCAGGCTGGTCTTGAACTCCTGACCACAGGTGATCCGCCCACCTCGGCCTCCCAAAGTGCTGGGATTACAGGCATGAGCCACCACACCTGGCCCCTTAGTCTTTTAAGAAGCGGCAGTGAACCTTCTCAACTAAATGTTGCAGCCATAAGCTTTCCTCCATGGGAGATATACCATTGGGATTGAGGAGGGGCCCTTAGGCCAGGGGAAACATCAATGGAACCTGATTCTTCCACAACACCCCAGATGTTGGGCCTCAAACAAGCTGGGGAGGGTGGAGATGACAGACACTGCCTACGCTTCTTGTCATCTTGTGTGGTCCCCATAATGCACCAAGTGGCATACCTTTCATAGGACAGAGAACTTCCCTGAGAGTCACATGCCTGGATGAAAAATTGCCCTCCATTGGCATGTGCCATCATAGAATAGGTCGTGCAAGGACCGGTTGGTTCTAGGAGGAAGAAAGACCAGTAAAAATAAGCACCCTTTCTCTTTCTGCCCTGCTGCCAGAACTGCCTGTTCTCACATGACCCACCTTGGCAGTTACCCAGGATGACTGTTGCTCGCTCCCATTTTACAGTAGAGAAAACTCAAAACTGTTACCCCAGAGTCACATTTGGAGCTGTGGCAGGGCCATCCTCGCCCTCTTGCTTTCCAGTTTGAGTTCTAGATCCAAGGCTGTCCAGGAGAGCCAACTCGTTTACTACAATGGAGTCTTGGAGTCTTGGAGTCTTCTGCCCTGCCTAGCTAGGGCTGGAAGAGGATCAGCCTCAGCCTTGTGAGTGGGTGGTACAGGATGATTTGACAACTTAAGGATAACATGCAAGCCATAGTTGCACCCTATTACTGGGAAGTGTCTAGTGTGCTGGCAAAACCAGGAGCACCAATCAATACCCAAGTTATAAAAAATAAAATAGCCCTCTTTGAGGCCCACGAAGCCCTTGCTTATATGGGACTTACCAAGTTTAAGAGTTGCGTGCACAAGGAATGGAACTCCTTGACAGCGTAAAGGCAAACATGACTGAAACTTTCTTCTCCCTTACTCTATCCTGGCAAACATTCTGAGGAGTCACAGGAGTACAGGCTTGGCTGGGATGAGGGACATTCAGTGGGGCTTGGGGGTTGCTAAACAAACGGCAGGTGCGCCACATACAAAAACACAAGACACAAAGACACTGAACCTGGAGGGGAGAGACTGAAATGGTCAGACAACTGGCATGCTGACAGTCTGAGTCTGACATGCCCCAGCAGAAGCAGCAGAAGGGAACAGCACTGACCTTTGGGAGAGTGACAGGATGAGAGCAGAGTGGCCCCACTGGTTGCTGCTTGGGTAGTGCTGGTGCTGAGAAGGGATGCTGACTGAGGTGGAGGTGTGTTTTTGTGTAATATGACTGAGGGTTCCTGCAGGCAGTGCCTCAGTTTCTCCCTTTGGGTCAAGGTCTCAAGCTTTGCAGGTAAAGATTGGGCTAGCTGCCCTGGAAGATCACCTGTCTAATAGCTTGCAATCTGAGGTGTGTGTGTGCACGTGCATGAGAGGGAGCGGAACGTGCCTGAGCATGGGGGGAATTGGGCCATGCCCCAGGACTTGAGCCATCTCTGGCACAAAAGGAGTTAATGGCAGGGACCGCGCCCCCCCGTGTCCGGGCACGCGCAGCGCGCCCCCTCGGTGCGCGGGCACAGCAACCAGGCTGCCGGAGAGCTGATCTCGGGGATTCGGGTGCGGAGCCCTTGGCCTGGAGGCGATATGGGTGGTCCGTGGCCCGGTTCAGTCGCTTGCAGCAGCCCGGGGAACAGGTGAGGCCGCCTGCCCCGGTCTCTCATCCTCTAGCTGCCCATACCTTGCCCCCATCCTAACCCCTCCCAATCCCAGGCTCCTCCACTCCCCAGCCAGTGGCCCCCATCCCTCTCAACCCCATGTTCTCCATCGGCACCCCTGACCCCCGATCCTCCCCCGCTTCTGTTCTCTCCTCTACCTCCTCCCTAAATCCCGCATCCCTATCATCCTCCCGCCCATGGTTCCTCTATTTCCACAGCCCATCCCGCATGCTCATCAAAATACCCCTATTGAGGGCCCCCAGCCCCATCCCGGGATTGCACATTGCCAGTCCCCCCTCCCCTGCAGTGCAGCTCCATCCCCCTTCCATCATAGCATCTCATAGCCGGGCTCCCTCCCCCACTCTCTGCAGCCCCCCCACCCAATGGAGGCCTTTATCCTATCCTCCCCCATTCCAGTGCAACTCCATCCCCCAATCCATTCCAAGCCCTCATAGCCCCCAGTACTGCAGTTCTCAATATTGGTCCATTCCTGCACAATGCCCCGCGCCCCACACCTCTGCAGCCCCAAAAGTACCCCCAGATGCCATTCTCATCCCCGGCATTGCTGCCTCCCCTTGTCTTCTCCCAAATTGCAAGTTGGGCAAGGATGGAGATCTTGGCCTTGGGGATTCACAGTGGGTCCTAGGGTACAGAGGGCGTTTGGGGGTCGGTCCGATTGTCTAGGTGTTCACGGGGGAGGGGCTGCAGGGAATTGACTCAAAGGAGAATTTGGCATTTGGCGCCGAAGGGTTACTGGAGAGGGGGTCATCCCGAAAGGGTTAATGGAATTTGTGGGGTGGGGGCAGCACCGAGGGGGTTAATGTGGGGGGGTTGCTGGCGGGGAAGCTGTGTGAATGAGCGGTCTGTGCCCTGGAGTTGCCATGGAGACGGTGAATGGGGGGATTGTGTGAACTCAGCTGCGGACTATCCCCCCCCATACACACACCCACCCACTCCCTCCTGCCCCACCTCCCTACTCCTACCCCTTCCTTCCCCTTCCCCTCCTCCCCCGACCCGGGTGCATTCTGGGCAGTGTCTGGGATCTTCCCCCCCAATACTTTGCTCCCCATTTCTTCATTTCCTCTGAGCCCCCACCCCTTAAGCCACTTTACCCGCCCTCCCTCCTCTTCCTTTTTCTTCTTTCTGTCTCTCTCTCTCTCTGTCTCTCACACACACACACACACACACACACACACACACATTCTCATTCCCCTCTCGTGGTGGCTGATTGCCGGGCGTTCCCAATCTCCCTCCCCCACCCCTTCAGCCAGTTCTTAAAGGAGCAGGCCTGCAATCTGGGAAGGCGGGAGAAATGGAGGAAAACTAAATGTGCATGTGGTGTGCATGTGGCGTGCGTGTGCATGTGTGTGCGTGTGTGTGCGGGAGCATGCGGGAGTATCTGTGTGTGCCTGTGTCTATGTGTTGACTGTGTAACTGTGTCAGAAGGCCTGTGTGTCTGAGTGTGTTGCTATTTCTGTTTCTGTCTCCACCTATGTGTCACCATTATGCTGCATGTGTCTGGATATTTACCTATGCGGGTATGTGTGATTATATTTCAGTAAGTCTCTGTGTGTGTCTCTGAATGTATCACTCTGTGAGGCTCTGGCTGTGTGAGGCGCTCTGTCTCAGAATGTGGGACTATATGAGGGGATCTCTGTGGGTTTGGAATGTATGTCTCTGTGAGTGAATATCGCAGTGTCTGTGATCCTGGCTTGGTCTCTCTCATTCCCTCTTTGAGTCTTTGTGAGTTTATTTCTATGAGTCTCTGAATATGCGTTCCCCACGCTCCGTTGTTTATTTTATAATACACCGGAAGAGCATCCACAATGCCTAGGGTGCTAGGCAGAACTCTTTCTACCTCACTTCTGGAATTCGGTGTGAATTAAGAGAGAGCCAACTGAAAGGACCAAGGCTTAAGGATTTGGGAGCAGTGAGGGCTGAGGAGAAATGTACAGAAGGGGCGCAGGAGGGTCCAGGGACTCCGGTGAATGGCTGTCCTGCCCTCTGCCCTGCCTGAGGGTGAGGGAGTCTCTCTGTGGGACTCTGCCGATTCGCTGCTTTCTGTTCTTGTGTCTTAGTGTCCCGGAGTGAGGTTGACAATCCCACCCTGTCCTGAAGTGGAGGTCCCTGTGTGGGCTTACCAGGTCCCAAGGGCTACACAGCTCCGTTCAAGCAGCATGCCCGGGGACCTGAGCTCCATCTTTGTTTCTCCCCACCCCCTGGCTGTCACACGCTACTCTGGCTCCAGCCGACCCTGATGAACCTCTTTGGCTGTGGGGTTGAAGTTGGGCACCGGGAACTTGCAGTGGCAACAACTGTCACTGTCAAACCCCTTGGATTTTCCAGCCATGGCCAGGCACGTAGAATGGTTCTGATTGGCAGTGGATCACCTGTGAGTCCCTGGGCCCCTGGCCATGTGAAACCTCTCCTGCCTATAAGAGAATAGCCCAAGCCCAGCGGGGCCCCCAAAGACCAACTCTGTCGCCCTCCCAGACCATCTTGGATGACACATACTTCCCTCTTTCCACAGGCCTGTCTGGCCCTGAGGGAGTCCCCTTTCTGAAGCTGTGGTGCTTGGACGACCTGCTCTCTACGTTGCTGGGCACCTGTAGGTGTCCCTCGAGAGCTCAGTTTTGAGGTTCAAGTCAGTGTGGCCATGAAGGGGCTGCCTATTGGGCTGATGCTGTGACCCTGGAGTCTGCCTCTCCTGCCAGTCCCCCTGCCCGGAACATGTGGCTGCGGCTTGGCCCGCCCTCGCTGTCCCTGAGCCCCAAGCCCACGGTTGGCAGGAGCCTGTGCCTCACCCTGTGGTTCCTCAGTTTGGCGCTGAGAGCCAGTACCCAGGCCCCAGCACCCACAGTCAACACTCACTTTGGGAAGCTAAGGGGTGCCCGGGTACCACTGCCCAGTGAGATCCTGGGGCCTGTGGACCAATACCTGGGGGTGCCCTACGCAGCTCCCCCGATCGGCGAGAAACGTTTCCTGCCCCCTGAACCACCCCCATCCTGGTCGGGCATCCGGAACGCCACACACTTTCCCCCAGTGTGCCCCCAGAACATCCACACAGCTGTGCCCGAAGTCATGCTGCCAGTCTGGTTCACTGCCAACTTGGATATCGTCGCTACTTACATCCAGGAGCCCAACGAAGACTGTCTCTACCTGAACGTCTATGTGCCGACGGAGGATGGTGAGTGCTGCGGCCAGGCACTGTGCCCTCCCTGCCTCCCGCCTGCCCTGTTGTGTTTGTGGCTTGCATGTGGTTGTGTGCCCTGCAGCATGCGTCTGTCTGTCTGTGAAAATGCTTCTAACCATCACTCTGCTTGGCCTCCCACCCCCCTCCCCGTTCTTCCCTCTCCCAGCATTGTCCGAGCTCCCATGTGTGAGTGACACTGTTGCCAGGAGGGGCCTGGCCCGGCCTGAGAGCTCTGATGGGTCTAGGTCCAGTGCTGGATGGGGGTCCCCTGGGGGAGTATGGGTCACGACTGGCAGCTGCCCGCGGGAGGATGCTGGCTCCACCAGGCCCCCCTGTTGCCATTCCACCTGCTTCGAAAGGTGGTAGGTGTGTGTGGCCAAGGACGCTGGGTGTGTGGGGGGCGGGGGGCAAGCCTGGTGGGCAATGCTTAGGTGCCGCCTCTTTCACTAGCTGATGCCTCCTCCCGCGGGGGTCACACTAAGGTAAGTGACAGAAACAAGGAGATGGTGGGACAGGCTCTCTGCCATGTGCCGCCTGCAGAGCAGCTCAGCTCTTGGGACCTGGGGGGTGGGGGGTGCATGCCCCTGGGCAGAGGCCTCCTGTTATTTTTTAGTTTTTTATTCATTTTACAGTAAAGCGGATTTCCAAGGAATGCGCCCGAAAGCCCAACAAGAAAATTTGTAGGAAAGGAGGTAGGTAGCGAGCCGGCGGGGAGGGAGAGAGAGAGAGAGGGAGGGCTGCCTGCCCACCTGCCCTTGCCCCCAGGACCCAGCCTTCCTCTAAGTAGCCCAGGCTCAGGGGGCAGTGAGCAGGCATAAGCGCCACCTCATCCGAGGGCCCTGGCTGCCTTGCAGGGAGGATTTGGTGGCCTAAGGCAGCCTCAGAGCAGAAGCAGCAACCCTATTTCTTTCAATATTCCCAGCCCCAAATTCCACCCTAAAGTGTGTGCCAAAGGCAGAGCCAGTGGCTCTCTTGGTGACACCTCAGGAGAAACTCTAGGAAGCCAAGATGGAGCCAGAGGCTCCACCCTTTTCCTAGTGGGTGGAGCCAGAAGACCACCCCTTCTGTGTTCTTTCTCCTGGATTGAAAGTCTAGACTCAATTGTCCCACCCTGAAGCTTAGACCAAACACGTGTACACAGGTTTAATAACTCCTGCCATACACACCTCTGCCTCCCACCCCACCACCTCTGGCCAGAGTGTAGCTGATAGACCCAGGCTGCTCTGGTGGCAGAACTTGGGGGTCTCTGGGAACTATGGACTTTAAAGGAGGCACAAGATCCTGAATTTTAAATTTGCCCTCATGCTGAGAGGAGTTTCTCCCCCTGTATAATAATTCTTCCTGTTGGAATATCACTTTATGTTTTCTGTAAAGTGCCTTGGCATTTACCTTGTAGAATCCTCCCTACATCTCTGGAAGCATCTAAGGCAGGAATCAGTATCCCAATTTTACAGATGAGGAAACAGGCCCAGGGGAGTGACTTGTTGCTGCTCAAGGCCCCCGTCGCTGGTCTGTGGCAGAGCTGGGACCAAAACCTGGGTCTCTTGACCCTCAGGACATGTTCTTTCCACTGTAGCACACGGAAGCAACTCCCATCTGCTCATTCCCATCTCCCCAACTCAAAAAAATGGTGAGATGTGGCTGGACTGGGGAGAATTGGAACAGTAACAGCCTAAGGAACAGGTGGAAAAATCACAGCTTGATCCCTACAACCCTCTGGCAAGCTGGGAGTTTGTTTTCCTTTGATGTCCTAGGGCAGGGTTTCTCAGAATGGGGTTGTCAGGATTCCTGGGATGGGGTGCTCCTTACTGAATAAGAATTTCTGGGGGCAGAGCCTGGGAATCTATATGTTGAACATGAGCCCTGGGTGCTTCTAATGCACACCTGAGCATGGAGTAAGACCCGCTGCTCTAGGGATAGTATTTCACCACAGCCCCATATCCCACCCAGGACCTCACACACTATAGGCAATTGATGTTTTTCGTGTAATTCAGAAGCATCATGGTGCTGCAGAAAGAGTACAGGTCTGGGAAGCACAAGGCCTGAGTCCCAGCTCTGCTGCCAACTCACAGCGAGACCTTAGCCAAGTCTTTTCCTTCAAGAACCTCTGTTTCCACATCTGAGGTTGGTAGGGGACAGTTCTGGCCTTAGCATTCCATTAGTCTATAAATGAATTCAGGAAGAAGGTCTCTTAAACCTGCAGGAGCGGCTGGGCGCGGTGGCTCACGCCTGTAATCTCAGAACTTTGGGAGGCTGAGGCGGGCGGATCACGAGGTCAGGAGATCAAGACCATCCTGGCTAACACGGCGAAACCCCATCTCTACTAAAAATACAAAAAATTAGCCGGGCGTCATGGCGGGTGCCTGTAGTCCCAGCTACTTGGGAGGTTGAGGCAGGAGAATGGTGTGAACCCGGGAGGCAGAGCTTGCAGTGAGCCAAGATCGTGCCACTGCACTCCAGCCTGGGCGACAGAGCAAAACTCCGTCTCAAAAAAAAAAAAGAAAAAGAAAAAGAAAAGAAAAGAAACCTGCAGGAGAGGAGATGGCATTCACATTAACCATTTCTTAGGAAGAATGATCTCCCAGTAAGAGCCTTGGGCTGTCCAGTCCAGCCCTGAGAGTGTGGCCAGAGAGCAGACTGGAAGCCCCGGCTCAAACATGCACATTTACCGATTGTGATTGTTGACTGTGGGCAAGGCCATGTGCTAGGTGTTGTTGGGATGTGGAGGGATGTAAGGTAGAGGAAAGATCTAGAAATGACTAAAGGCCTAATCACTGCTCTGAAGAAGCTCTTAGCCTTGTATTAAAACTCAGCTGGTTTGGCCGGGCGCAGTGGCTTATGCCTATAATTCCAGCACTTTGGGAGGCCAAGGTGGGTGGATCACTTGAGTTCAGGAATTCGAGACCAGCCTGGCCAATATGGTGAAACCCCATCCCTACTAAAAATACAGGTGCATGGTGGCACGCACCTGTAGTCCCAGCTCCTTGGGAGGCTGGGGCAGGAGAATCGCTTGAACCCGGGAGGTGGAGGTTGCAGTGAGCTGAGGTGGTGCCATTGCACTCCAGCCTGGGCAACAAGGGTGAAACTCCATCTACAAAAAAAAAAAAAAAAAAAAAAAACTCAGCTGGTTTCCCTAAGTCCCATGGGCCAATCAGGAAGTGGGTTCCAGACAGTGCAAGGGAAGGCATTTGGTCATTTCGCTGTTCAAATTAGTTCCCTACCCAGGACCTGGTGGCCATTTGGAAGAGTGACAAATCCCGCCTCTTGAGGGAGACCCATCCCCAGAGGTCGTTAGGGTTGTGGTGTGCAGAGGTCTGGGGGCTGGCCTGGCTGGGATCCCTCAGCGGCACAGGGTCTGGGAATGGTGGTCGGCAGTCAGGCTGGCCTGGGTAAGAGGCATGGCAGCTAGGAGCCGTTCAGCAAGTACCAGGCTGAAGGAGCAGAGGCATCTGTGTGAAGGAGGCTGGGACAATGCAGCAACCCAGGGACACTCTCAGAGGGGTTCACAAGGGATGTATCTTCTAAGTCAGGGATGATGGGAAATGAAGGGTTTCCTGGGGAAGACCTGCCCCATCTCCCCAACACCCCACCCCATCAAGTTGGAAGGAATTCGTGTCTGGGGATAAGTGACTCCTTTCCGTTTGTAGGCTGTCCACAGTGTGAGGGATGATACCCATGTCCCATTAGGTTTCTGAGGACAGCAGTGGCAGGTGTTGAGCTAATGTATTAAGACGGTAGGTGCCACCGGAAGTTCAGGGAGCCAGAGGCAATTTCTCCCCTAGAGCTGTGCTCTTGTCCTAGTTGAAAAGCCATTTTGTAGGATGAGGGCAGTTCCTGTTTTGATGAATGGCTGTAAGGAAATCTAGTCATCAGAGTCCAGACCGGCTGGGAAAGAGGGCTCTTTGCTCCTTCCAGGCTGAGGGTATCTGATGTCATAGATGCAAGAGAGCAAGCCCTGGGGTGGCAGCACAGCCCCCTCTGTTTCCACACACTGACCAGCATCCAGACAGCCGGTCCTCTCCCTCCTTGGCCATCACCAGGATGCACTTCTAGCCTCCTTAGAACAGGAAGGAGAATTTGTGCCAGCTTAGCCCCAGATCCTAAATGTTTCCCTTCTCACCTCTAGTTTCTTCTTTTTTCTCTACCCTCCTTTCCCCTTCTCTCCCCTCTCCTCCATGCCCCACTGCTTTTCTCATCTAATTCTTCCCTCCCCTCCCCTTTCCCCCACCCCAGAAAGGTGGCATGATGCAGTGGAAAGATCATGGGCTTTGGAGTCAAGCAGACCTGGGTGTGAATCGCACCTCTAGCACTTCCTAGCTGTGTGATCTTGAGCAAGTCACTTTACCCCTCTGAACCTCAGTTTCCCCATCAGTGAAACAGGAATAAAGATAGGACCTATCTCATTGGGGTATAAGGATCAAACAATATGGCAGAAATAGAGTGTCTGGCACATGGTGAATATTCAGTACATGGTTGGAGCTGTGACCATTATTCCTATCTCTTTGTTTCTCTTCTATTTTTTTTTCTCTCTCTCACCATCCCTTTCTCCTCTTCCCCTTTCTTCTCTCCCTCTGTCCCTCTCTGGCTCTCTCTACATCTCAGAGCAATGCTTGCTGCTCTCAACACTGGTTCCTGTGGGCAGGAACCCCATTTGCCATTAACCAGAGCAGGGGGTCCAACAAGGAAGACCAGAGGGAAAGCTTCATCTCCCATTTTCTCCTGTGGGGATCAGGGTCAGCTGAGGCCCAGCTTGAACCTGCCCACTGGGCCCCAGGAGCTCAGGCCTGGGGTCCCTGTACACATCTCTGCCCTAAGTACCTCGTATCCACAACCTCCACACTTGCTGGCAATGTCGCCCCTCACCCTTGGTACCTGACCCTGCTCTCCAGCTCAACCTGCCTGTGTACACACGAGCAGCCCCTTCCACCCAGAATGAATCCTTCCCCTGAGTGGGTCTCTGGCTCTGTGCCCTGGCCCACTTGCTGCTACCTCCTTCCTCACTGGAAAGGTAGTTGGTTGAGATGGGCTGTTGGGGACAGGGAGGCGGGGCAGGGCGGTGCAGAGAGGCCAGCACAGCAGGGACCTGCAACACCATCATCCTGGTGAAGGTCTGGGCCTCAGCCCACCCATTCCCTCAGTTCTTGCCATCCCTCCTGCCTGTCCTGGGCCCAGGCCCGGAGCTGGCTTGCTGGGCCACACTGCAGTCATGCTGTTTTTGAATTCTCTCTCTGTTTTGTTCTCTGTTCTGTGCTGTTGTGTCTCCCCGTGTCTGGTCCCCAGGATCCGGCGCTAAGAAACAGGGCGAGGACTTAGCGGATAATGACGGGGATGAAGATGAAGGTATTTGGGGGCTGCAGGGCGCGGCGGCTGGTGCATGGCACAGAGCCCCTCCCCTTCTCGATGGGGAGAAGCCCCGTCTGTCTGTCTGTCTGTCCGTTGGTGTGTTTCTGTTCCTGTACAAGGCCGTTGGGCTGTTCATCTGTCTTTGGCCCCGTTGGCCACTGGGAGTTCCGGGGTGATGGACATGGCTGGCAGGAGCAGGGGACCACAAGCAGAGCCATGGGGAGGACATCCTCCTTGCCTGGGTCTCCCGCCCCTTCCCCATCTTCTGTGGTTCAGAGGCACCTGCCCCTACTGAGCAGCAGGGAGAGTGGAGAGAAAGCAGGACCACTGAGGGTGGGGAGAGGACAAAGGCAACGGAACGGCAAGGAGATTACCTGTGTTTCAGTGAAGAGACCCCTGTGTCTCACAGGGAGCCTGGCTTCTGGGAAAGGGACCCCGCAGGACGGCGAACTGGGGAGTGAGGCAGTGACAACCAAAGGGGCTGGAAAAGCAGCACCAGAACCTCCCCAGCCTTATCCTAGAAAAGAGAGAGATGGTCTCGGGGCCAGGGGCTGCAGTAGGTACAAGACAAGGCCAGAAAGAGTGGGCTAAAATGCCAGGCTAAGGCCAGGACACCACAGCCATCAATAAATGGCATGAGATCCTTGGGCAATGATCGGACCAGCCTTCCTCCTTGGAGAAACAAGTTCTGTTTGCTCTGCAGCAGAGAGCATCCCTTCCTCCTCCATGCCCTGGCCCCACCCCTCTGTCCCGAAGGGGCCAGGCAGCTCAGGGGGGCCCAGTGGTGATGGGTAGGGCTGTGCTGGCATGGCAGAGAGTACTGGTCCAGTTCACAGACTGACAGGCTACAGGCAGAGGTGATCAGGCCTGGAGCCTTCTCTTGACTGCCCCAGCCCTGATGCCGTGCCACCTGGGCTTGGGAGCAGCTGCTTGATGGTCCCTTGTTGAATGGCCTCTGGGGAGGCTCCATCTTCATCTTGGTGCTGACTGGGAGCAGGCTCTGTCATTCTTAGTTCTGCCCCATCCCCAATGCTTCTGGTTAAGTCTGCCCGGGGAGAATGGGGAAATGGGCACATGGCTAAGAAACCATGTCAACAAGGTTCCCCCCACCCTATCTCTGCCATTCACTCCCCTTTCCCCACATCCTTCCTTGTTCTCTCCCTGTGCCACCCCTTATTCCCACACCTCTTGTCTCTGTCTGCACTGGGGGGCCAGCTGCTGCCAATGGCCGTTTTTCCATGTAACTGGTCTAGTCTTGGGGGTTTCAGGGCTCCCCAGCTCCTGCTCTCTAAAGCCATGTCAGGTCCCAGGACTCCTGGGTGCCCAGGGCAGCGACTCACCTGATGTGCCTGAAGAACCAGCCCTTCCTCTTTCTGCTGCCCCCCGCCCCCAGGGCCCAGCCATGGCCCACTGAGGCCTGGCTATATCACATGCCTGGCTGCCTTCAGCTGGGAGACACTTGAAACCAGAGCCTTCAAAAACATCACTGAAGTCCCACTGTCTCAGGCTGATGCTTGAGCTCCAGGTTGAGCAGCCTCATGAGTCCTGCCCTCAGGGATGGCGGTGGTGTCCTGGCACCTGGGATAGCTTTGCTGCCCGCACCCACCCCCCGGGCTGGCGGGGGTTGGGGAGGAAGGGCATCCCACCCAGCCTGTGTCTCACCCCTTCTCCTTGCAGACATCCGGGACAGTGGTGCTAAACCCGTCATGGTCTACATCCATGGAGGCTCTTACATGGAAGGGACAGGCAACATGATTGATGGCAGCGTCCTCGCCAGTTATGGCAATGTCATCGTCATCACCCTCAACTATCGGGTTGGAGTGCTAGGTATGGTTCCCTGTCTGGTGCCTAGAAGGAAGACTGGCTTCTTAAGGAGGGGAGGAAAGAATGCTGGAGAATTTAAAAACAGAGAGCCTTGCTTCTCTAGCTGGTGCTAATGACCACAGTCAAAATAGTGTTATCCTCTGGCCCCTACCCAAATGCTAGGGGCTTCCCCATATCCCCAGGCCCTTTCTTAGAAGGTTTAGATGCCACTGGAAATTCAATTCAAACTTCACACCTTCTCTCAGGTCCCAAGCCAGGTCTCTGCTTCCAGACTTTCACTTGGCTGGGTTTTGTAGGATGCTTCAATTTTCCACTGTCCCATCTTCACCTCTACCCACCCGCCCCACATCCCTAAACACCCCACACATGCACAGATATTCCTTCCAGTCCACTCCATGGCCACACACCTATTTACCTTCACGTGTTTACACATCCACCCCGCCATGCAGCTGCAGGCAGAAGGTGATTTCTCACTCACCCCCACAAAGTACACACACCTAGCCCCACATTCACATCTCCAGGCCCCTCACACAGAAACACATTCTCCCAGCACTCCAGGTAACTCCACTCACATAGTCTCTCCAGAACACACACCCGCACACGCGCACACCCGCACACGTGCACACCCGCACACGTGCACACCCGCACACCCGCACACCCGCACACGCGCACACCCGCACACCCACACACCCACACGGTCTGTGTACTCCACATCTGCACCCCGCAGATGGCTCTCACCCTCTGCATGTGCACACACATGCTCATGTGCTTCTCCCCATGTCTCTGGAGCCACATCTACACCCATACCCACGACGCATACACACCCACACCCACACTTTACCCCCGTATTTACAGCCCACACAAAAACCTACACCCTGCACATCCACGTCCACACCCAAACTCCACACATATACACCTTAAACGTATATAAATATTCCTTCCACCCACCCCGCACACATACATGTACACGCCCATATCCCCCTGCACACCCCACTTCTACATCCACTTTACACACCCACCTGCTACCACACACACCTGTCCCTATCTCCTCAGAAACACAAACCAACATTCCCCTTCCCTACACACATATACTCTTACCTGTTTGTCCACACTGTCCCACCCTACACATACACAGATACTACACACACACCATATCCACATCTACATACATCCCACATACTGCCCTTATGTCATTCCCCTACACATACACTCCCCCCCACACACACATCGTGCATGCATGCATATACATGTGCACACTCTTCCATACACAGCCTGCATATGTACACCCAGCACACACCCATGCACTTCTCCCCTCACCCCACCCCACAAATACATACACATCTGTGTACATGGGGCTGCACCTGTATCCATACATGCACACACACCTCTACCCATGCCCAACCGCATCCCCCCAAATCCCCCCACACTTCCTTATCCCGTATATGCACACATACACACTCCTTGTACTCTCTCTATGCATGTCCCCTGCACACTCCCACCCATCGCACACATACTCCCATTCATACGCGCTCATTGCCCAAATGCCTCCTCATATGCACCCATACACCTCCCCACCCGCGCATTCTCTGCTGTGCACAAGCTTGTGTCAGTCATTTAGGCTGCCCCTGAACCCTGTACCTTCCTTGGTGACCACCCATGCCTATCTATGGTGAAGGTCTTGAGGTAAATGAGTGCCTCAGAGAGGGTGACTAAGCACACAGGGCCCTGCTCATGCTTCCCCAAGCCCCGCATCCCTGTAGTGGCATGAAGAAGCCAACTTCTTCCTGGAGAAGAGTTTCAGCGGGAGTATAGGCTCTTGGTCAGGTCTGTAGGCATATGGGTGCTAAACCAGCAGTTAGGCGTGGCTTATTCCATGGCTAGTTAGGGGACATGACCGTATTTTATTTCATTTCATTTCATTTTTATTTAATTTTTGAGACAGGATCTCACTCTTGCCCAGGCCAGTTTTGAACTCCTGAGCTCAAGTGATCATCCTCCCACCTCAAGGGCCTTATTTTAATTTTTTTTTGAGACGGAGTCTCGCTCTGTCACCCAGGCTGGAGTGCAGTGGCCGGATCTCAGCTCACTGCAAGCTCCGCCTCCCGGGTTCACGCCATTCT